GTGCGGGATCCCCGCGTAATCGTGCGGGACCCCCGCGTAATCGTGCGGGATCCCCGCGTAATCGTGCGGGACCCCCGCGTAATCGTGCGGGATCCCCGCGTAATCGTGCGGGACCCCCGCGTAATTGTGCGGGATCCCCATGTAATCGTGCGGGATCCCTGCGTAATCGTGCGGGATCTGTCATGGCCCAACAACGATGTGACCTCCAGTCTTCCTGTGGTTGTGTGTTCATGTCTATGTCCTGCAGGGGACAGGTGTCCATTCCAAGGTGTCCCCTGCATTGTATCCACACAGAAACTGACTGAACCGAAACTCTACCATCTTCTAGGGTGACTGGACCAGCTCCAGTTGGGAAAGAGCCACACATTTGGCACACATGGGTATGGGGAATTAAATCGTTTGATCGATCAGAGAGAGTCCATCCCAATCCTGACACTGGGGTCTCTGCTCACAGGATTTATACCACACTACTTACAGTTATTGGATTATCTCTTGATTAATCCGAAAATACGAATAATTTGATAGACCTCTAACACACCGTGGTCCACAGACAAATTTCTGACAGGTTCCCTCTCTTAGGCGTCAGCTCAGCGGCAAAAGGTCCAGGTGACAAATCTGACTCAGAAGCAGCAGGGCTTTTTGAGGAAGCCATATCCCTAACCCTGTTCCCTATACCCTAACCCTGTACCCTATACCTTAACCCTGTACCCTGCAGCCTAACCCCTAACCCTGTACCCTAACCCCTAACACTGTTCCCTATACCCTAACCTGAAACCCTAACCCTGTACCCTATACCCTAACTCTGTACCTTATACCTTAACCCTGTACCCTGCAGCCTAACCCCTAACCCTGTACCCTAATTCTGTAACCTAACCCTGTACCCTGCAGCCAGAACCGCCAGACATATTTGACTGTGTAAACGAATAAGGATGAACCACACTCATTCTCAGGAAAGACCGTAATTAAGTTAAAGCTCTAGATAAGATTAAACGCTCATAATTACACTTACTAAAATGAAAATCATTCTGAAAGTGTAACAATAATTCCAGATTTCCCTGGAAAATACCAGTCAGTTTTTTTTAACAGTAAAAAGCATTAGTTAATTCACGGTTATTACTTCTCATATAACATATAAAGGAGATGAGAGGTTCATACAGGCAAACTACCTACATTTATGCCAATAGCAAAAAACAAGTTGCCATATACTACTCTTACCCACTTCTGCCCCCCCTCCCCACCAACAGGGGGCAGCACACAGAAGCGTTTGCACACTGCCACTGCACTATTCTGGAAGTAAGGGGGTGCCATTCGCCTAGCACAGAGACCCCCAGGTGAGTAACCCTAAACCACTCCTCACTTATTCATGCCAGCTTCCCAAAAGGGGGTAGGGGCTCAGCCACAGACGGCAGCCGTGTTTGGGTCCCGACCCCAAGGGTGCCCCCTAGAGACGACTGGCCATCCTGCAGCAGAGATCACGCCTGAGCATTGGAGACTGGAGTGGAGCAAACTTGGGCTGGATGATGAGGTGTCAGATAGGTGAGCAGACCAACCAAAACAGGCCACTATGCTCCAGTTGCCCCACCCACGAACCCTCACCATCGAATCACGCGTCGGCTTCATTTCCACAGTTACTGAGGTCAGAAGTAAGTTGGAGGCCCTGCTCTGTGGGAGCACACCCCTTCCTTCTCCAGGTCTGCTGGCGCTCCCAGAGCACCAGCGCTCGCTAAGCCCACCCCATCTGCCGGCTGGCTTTCATACGGTCTCCATGGCAACAGCTGAGTCACTGCATTTGACTGGACACAGAGGTCTGAACGTGCAGCGTGACTCTGCTAAATGTTTGAAAACATCTGAAGGTCGATACAGGAATGAAGATGAAGTGAAGGCGCCCAGATCACAGCGGCACAGACGAGATCCAGCGCAGTGAGCACCCAGCGCAGTGAGCACCCAGCGCAGTGAGCACTGCTTCTCTGTGAGAAGGTGGGTAATTTGGTCTCCAAAGAATCAAGGCACCTGGTATGATTTGTCATCTGACATTAATAAGTGGTGACTTATAAAAACATATGCTTTCATTCAAAGCAAACATAACAAGCTGGTGTGTCACTGAAACACACTGCATGCTGATTCTGGCTGGGGGGGGGGCAGCAGAACCGGAGGAGAGCTTAATGAAGTCCGCGTCTGACTGAGAAGCACTACAGCACCAGAGAGGACGCGCTCCAGCCACAGTGTCTCCACAACCACATCAGCGTCAAGCTAACTGTGCTGGAATGTACCAGAAACCAGCCAGTGGACTCAGACTGGTCTTAATGGTGTAATTAGCAGTCCCTGTTAGACTGGTGGGATTTCAGCTCTTTGCCAGCTGGGATATCTGAGGGTGTGCTTCCATGAGTCTGTGGCAGAGGACATTTCCCATCATGCAGAGCGTTCACAGCAGAATTTTAACCCAATGTTATGGCACATAACATTGGCACTGGATGGCCATGACTTAGACTGGAGCGGTGACTGGAGTACTGACTGGAGTTTGGACTGGAGTATTGACTGGAGGTTGGACTGGAGCAATGAGCTCTCCCTCCCTCATGAGGGCCAGAGGCAGGTGAAATGGGACAAAGGCTTCCTCCTGACTGGCCGGTCCTGCCCGGAACTGGGGCCGAATGGTCGGCTTTTCCTAGCAGACTGGACAGGCAGCCTCACAGACGGGGTCATCGCCGTACCAGACGCGGTCATATGCATGACGAAACTCAAGCTAGGATCCTCTGGCTCTGTGAGGAGCAGTTAGTGAAATCTCAACAAGAGAACCTTGTGCGGAGGTGCGGGGCTACACTTCAGCCATTGTTACATGGCAACAGTTCGCTCAACCCCTTAGTTACTGCTCCCCCTGGTGACCTGCAGCCAAAACAGCATTTTAGACATACAATGCTGAAGGGACACAAAACAAAGGGGAATCTGGCGTTGAGTGGAAGCAGCCAGGCATCACGATTTATCAACAGCTAATTTACATGGATTTACCTGAAACAATCTGCAGTCTAACAGCAGGGAACCCCAGGAGAAGGACAACAGGAATGCCTTCTGGAAGCTTCCGCTTGAAAATCCAAGTTCCTCAACCACTGCAGCAACTGCCGCTCACGTCGTCACCATCCTCACCCACATCCTCATCCTCCCCCACTGTAAACACCCGCGCATGCCGGCCTGAGGGGGCATACAGACCCCGCTGAGTTGTGTGCCTGTGATTATTACCATCATCTTCACCTTCATCCCCAGTTACTTCCCACACGCCAGGACCACGCAGCGGACCGGGAGAGAGCTCTGAGATCAGTGCAATCAGAAGAGTGTCTTGCCGCAGATAATCTCCTCTTTCTGGGGCTGCCTGAGCCATGCAAACGTCCATCCGCCTTCCTGGTGTCAGAAATCAAAAAGACACAGGAGCCACCCTGTACTCACGAGTGGCCTAAAATGATGATCCCCAACAGGCAAAGTGCTGGGTGGACTACAGGGGGCGCTGTAGTATGAGGGGGGGGGGGGCTGCTGACTGAGTGAGTGCAGGGAGTGGTGGATGTGGGAGAAGGACTGATTATAATAGACAGCATTCATACTTCGAGGGAGGGGGTGTATCATCGTCACGTGGGACTGAAATAGGCTCTCCGCACATCAATACTGGGCAAACCCCGGGCACAGCCGATGAAAGCAAACCGGGTCCCGTTAGCATCTACAGTCCATTTGCGTTCCTGCGATAACACGTGCGCTTCTTCCATGCGAGGAACAACGAGGACGCCTTAAGCGCCCCCGGGGTTCGTCCCCGCACCTGCAGTGGCATGGGGCGCCCGGCACTGCGTCTAACCGCGTCTGACCGCAGCCGCTCCTCCCCCCGCAGACACACTGCTCACCGATGCGCCGAAATGTAGCCTAATTAATAATACATTAATTACCGCCAGGCATGTACACGCATTTCCTATATGCCGATGAAGGCATTTCAAAAAAACAATAAATAAAAGGTAATGAACAAGCCCAGTTAAACGCAAACGCCGCAGCTAAAGACATCAGCGGAGCCGCCGGTCGGCGGGCGGGCAGCTCGCAGCCCCGGCGCGTACCTGCATCTTCGGGGACGTGAAGACCTCGGCGTCCACCTCGCAGGCGATGAGCGTCAGCATCTCCAGCTTCATGTTTATCGATGGCATGCCCCTGATCAGCCCGGATCACCCCTGTACGCAGCCGTGTGGGTCCGAACTGGCTGCCGGGACCCGCAACCGCACCGAGCCGAGCGTTGACGTCATCCCTCCCCCCTCCCGGAGACGCGCACAGAGCACTGCGGACACCGCTTCCTGCAGCACCGGCCTCGCTGCTGCTTCACCCCCTTACCTATCACTCTCTCACTCACTCTTTCTCTCTCTCCTGCTTCTCTTTCCCCCTCCCCCTGCCTCCCCTTCTCCTGCTTCACACTCCCCCTCCTCCTGCCTCTCTCCTTCCTGCCCCCTTCTCCCCAAGCCCTGAATACAGGGACCCCTGTGTAATCCCCCCACCCTCCTAGTATCAGTGTAACTGACCACTGCATCTTTCCTGGCGTGCCTCTGATGAGGTCTCACCTGGGCAGCAGAGTGTCTGTGCGCCTCATTCGCTCCCATTTCACTCCATCTTCCAAATGCCCTTGGCTCAAACTTGGTAAAAGGCACAGTTAGCCTAGTTGTTTGAAGCAGTTCAGTCGAAGGCCCTGGAGATGCCCGTCCTTGGAGCAGAGACACCATCTTAGCCTCATCTTATTATGATATGGGGGGGGATAAAGTGGCAGGAAATACCAGCAACTCCATTTTCTCCCTAATCACTAAATGAGTGGGATCATTGTGGCGGCTCGTCTTCCTAAACGGTAACAGCACAGCTTTGCCTGTGTTGCAGAGATTTGCGCTCTCTGCCCCCTGCTGGCAGGTCTAACCATCGCCGTGCTGCCGCCCAGGCAGGAACCTCCAGGCAAAACTACATGGCTGCGTCCATGTCACCAAAACAGGGGCACAGACGCCCCACTCAAGCCGACTGGAGATACGATGTAGCTCCCGCCACAGGGAACCTCGTCATTGGAACGGCAGCCGCCAAAACGGCGAGCCTTGTAGCTGCTTATCTATGGTAAACACTTTTGCCAGTGAACATGAAGCAGGAACACAGCCTGTTGCAGCCTGGCTGCGTGACCAGAGCCTGCGCCTCCATGTGGTGAACGAAGGCGGCTGTAGTGGTAAGGTACCTAACTGAAGCCGGAGGCTCATCCTATCAGCACTGCAGTTGCAGTGAATGTAGGCCAAGCTATTTATGGGGGGGGAGGGAGGGAGGGGGACAAATGGGGGCAGATGGAGAGAGAGAGGGAGGGAAGAGAGGGTGAGAATGGGAGGGAGAGAGAGAGAGGGACAAATGGGGAAATGGAGGGAGAGAGAGAGGGGGACAAATAGGGCAGATGGAGGGAGAGAGAGTGAGAAAGAGGAAAGGAGAGGGAAAGAGAAGGGGGTAGGTAGGAAGAGGGGGAGAAAGGGGGCAGATGGAGGGGGAGAGAGAGGGGAAGGGAGCAAGGGATAGACGGACGGAAGGATGGGAATAAAGGGAGATAGGGAAAGTTGAAGACAGGGAGTAAAGCTGACCTTTACGTTTTCTCCCCGGGGGGGTGAATGCCCCTTTTTGATCACCGACAATCGAGGACAATCCCCCCAAGGTTGGCAAAACTTCCCGAGGGAGTCCCTGACCGACTGCAGTTTGACCTTCTAACTGACCCAGTGTAAGTATGTCAAACCCAAAGCACATTAAACTCAAGAAGAAAGGGATTCCCTCCCAAACCAAAGCCTGCGTTCACATTTACACTGCATTAACTGCGGATGCAGCTTGTCTTGCTGCTCTGGGTGACACCGTCAGGCATACAGCCTGGGACCCTTTGCTGCTTCTAGGACGCCACACAAAAGCCACCCTCACAGTGCAGTGACTGTCTGTGGCCAGCAGGGCGGCATCCAAGGCTTGGGGGGCCCACACAAACATGTGGTTGGGAAGTAGTAAACTTGGCCGCTGCCTGCCGGCACTAGGGGCCACACTGTCATTCCCAGCAGACCAAGTCAGCTAACCAAGAGGATTTAAAAATTTAATACAAATAATCAGTAAACATGAGCCTGGAACAGCCCCCCCTTAGGTCAGCGAGAACCTGCCATCTCCCACTCCCCTTAAATGGTCACTTTTATACAGGTCTGCTTGAGAGCGACCTGCTTGGGATGGCTTGCTGGGTGTAGGGTTAAGCACACAAAAATCTTAATTTTTTTAAATAAAATGGGGGGTGGGGGGTGGGTTGAGGGAGATGTAGGGATGCCTCAGTGACACAGCAACAGTATTTTGTTTGAGGGGATTTGGGGTGAATCTCACAGACACTGGTTCAGAGGGGGCTGTGGAGATAAGGGGATGGTGGGTGCTGAGATTATAGGGGCAAAAATGAAGTACCCCCCCC